TTTTTTTTTTTTTTTTTCACTTCTCTAGTTATCCCCGAACAGAAAGCACTGCATACCCATCTTCATTTGACTACAAAGGCACTCTTGGGGCATTAGTCCACAATCCAATGTGGGGTGATTATGCACAGCAGCTTCTGTCTAGTGGTTTTCATACACCGCGATCAGGAAATGATGCAGGTGATCATCCTCCAATTACTCCAATGAGTTCAGCTACTGAGCACACTCTTGGGAATGATGCATGGAAGCTCTACCAATACATTTGTCAACATTTTCTGGGAACTCTTTCTTCAGATTGTAGATACACGAGGTTTAAGCACTAACGTTTGATGGTTTATATATATATATATATTTTTTTTTTTAATTGCACAAGACATTGATGGTTTGCTGGGGGATTTAACCATTTGGAATTAATAAAACTTCAGCTAAATAGGTTTTGCCTACTTTACCAGCCATTTCACTTGCATTTATCTCACTGTTTAGTGATCCTTGGGTAAAAAGGTTGTTATTATTTTGGACGCCATCCAGATGTCTAGGCCAGCATGCATAAGAGGCATTATGGCGGATCATTGTTTATGTTGTTGAGGCACTATCCAGTATGGCCTTCAAGTAAGGTCCTGTGGACAACTTTGTGAACTTATATGGCAAAAATTGATTGCTTGTTTGCGTAGTCTTGAGTTTTCTCTACTGCAATCGTTTAATGGAATTATGACCATCGATGGTAAATAAAGTCCTTTCGAAGAATCTTGATGAAGCATTACCACAGGACGGGTGGCAATCTTAGAATTGATTTCCTTATGTTATAAAAAATATGATTTTTCTGGCATCTAACAAGCTTTTCTGGTTCAGATAGGATTGATCTGTGATTTATTTTAATCTGTAGGGTAAAGACTGAATTTGAATCTGGTGGAGAACTATTTCACTGTGTTGGGCAGCGTGTCATGGTCAAAGGATTCACGTCCATTATGCCATGGTTGGCAGTAACTGAGATAAATATACCTCAGTTTACTGAAGGGGAGAAAATTCAAATATCGAGCATTGAAGTAGATGAGGTATGAGATCCTTGCTTGAACAGGATAGTTGGTGTGTGTTCATGTTTGCACTCTTTCTTTTGGTCGGCACTAAAAGATGGGATTCTTTTTATTTTCATGTCACTAAATCTACTCATACGCTATACATAATTTTATGACAAGATAATTGATATTCTCAATGATTTATGCTGGAAACAGTATGTGGTCCCTAGGTTTTGAGTGTGGCCAGCTGACCCATGGATCTTTAACTAGTATTGGCATGAACAAAAAATGTTGACATGCATGAATTTTATATGGTATGGTATGGTATGGTTTTATTTGAATATGTCGAGATGTTTGGTTGTTAAATCAAAACACTAGGCAGTCTCAGGTATACGCCTCAGCTTTGCAACTAGCCTAGTATGGCACAATTGTTACTTGAGCCCACTAGAATGTTGTCACTATTCTTGCCTAGTAACATTAAGTCTGAGGACATTCCAGGGGACTACACGACCTCCAGATTACCTCACTGAGAGTGAGCTTATCTCGTTGATGGAAAAGAATGGAATTGGAACGGACGCATCCATTCCTGTGCATATCAACAACATATGTGAACGGAATTACGTGCAGGTTGGTCATACTTCTATAGAATCTATTTGCGAGCATGAAGATGTTAAATTACTGAGATAAATTTGATGCTCTATTTCAAATTGCAGGTGCAAACTGGTAGAAGATTGGTTCCCACTGCGTTAGGTGTCAGCCTAATAAGAGGCTACCAAGTTATTGACCCTGATCTCTGTTTGCCTGACATTCGGAGTTTCATCGAACACCAAATTAGCCTTGTGGCCAAGGGTCAAGCAGATCATGGGTTTGTTGTGAAGCATGTGATAGAGCAATTCAGAAGGAAGTTTAGCTACTTCGTGAAGCAGGTACCAGAAACAGTTATTTGTTTATTTGCCGAGGGAACCTTTTCTATTCCTTTTCTTTTGAAGCTGCACATCACATGTCCTTTGTTATATTTTAAATCAGCCTTGTGTAGAAGGGTCAAGCAGATTCATATACTATTGATTATTACCTTTCTAAATTGCTCGTCTTTTTTTCCGTGTGAAAAGAGATGATTATAGTGTTTCCGAGAAAAATGGCCGGCAGTAATTCCAAATTTCTGAAAACATTGCCCCCATCTCTATCTGTGCACATAAAACTAAGTTTCTGCTTAGTTGACAAAAATGCAATTGAAAGATAAACCAGAAATTGCAAGAGAAACAAGTGAAATGGTGGGAATATTATGTAATTTGTTTAGTGTTGTGGTTTCACTCAAGTAGAGTCGTGCTGCTCCTGAAAGGATGCTTACTGGTTAATGTAGATTGAAAAGATGGATGCACTATTTGAAGCAGAATTTTCCCCGCTTGCGAATTCTGGACGTGTACTTAGCAAATGTGGAAAATGTTTACGGTACATGAAGCACATATCTTATCAACCATCACGCCTATATTGTGGTACATGTGAAGAAATTTATTATACTCCTCCAAATGGTACAATCAAGGTAATCCTGGAATCTTTTCTATTTTGTTTCTGGTCTAATTTTCTTAGATTGAAGATATTTACTTGCTATTTTTTTTTTTTTTAAATTAATATTTTGGTCCTCTTAAAATTAATATTTTGGTCCTCTTAAAGCTATACAAGGAGCTCACCTGCCCTCTGGACAATTTCGAGCTCCTCCTGTTTTCAGTCCCTGGCCCAGACGGCAAATCCTTTCCTTTCTGCCCCTACTGCTACAACGACCCCCCGTTCGAGGGGGCAGTGGGTCCCCCCACAGGCAAGGGGGTTGGTGGCATGTCCTGCTCCCTCTGCCCTCACCCGACGTGCCCCCACTCCCTTGCGTCCCAGGGAGTGTGCGCCTGCCCTGAGTGTGGGGGCACGCTGGTGCTTGACCCGGTCAGCGCCCCCAGGTGGCGGCTCAACTGCAATTCGTGTGCCTGCCTCGTTTCCCTGCCGGAGGGGGCCCACAAGATCTCCATGACTGGGGAACGTTGCCTGGAATGCGACTCGGGAATCATAGAGGTGGACTTCAATAAGAAGAGCACCCCTTTGAAGGACGGGGCTACACGGCATGTGGGCTGCATACTTTGTGATGAGCTGCTGCATTCACAGGTGGAGGTGAGGCACGCCAAGTCGTTTTTCAGGCGTAGGGGTAGGGGGAGGGGCCGCAGGGGGAGGGGTGCCAGGAAACAACAGGACCCCAAGATGAGCTTTCGGGATTTTTGAACTCACTTTGTCTTCTTGTGTGTCAAGTCCTTGGACCTTGGACTCATAGGAAAGATGGTTTGAATGTGTAATGAACCGTCACTTTCTTATCGATTTTGGAGGGTAATTTATTGTAGTTACCCGTTCATTTATTAAGAAATCGGTTCAGTTATTGTATTTTTCTTGGATGCATTGCATTTCATATCATTTACTAGTGCATACCCCGTGCGATGCACGTGATACATATAATAAATCAATTATTTCTATAGGACTTGTACGTCTAGACAAAAAAATAATAGCTTGGATCATTAATATTTCACATCTTTTAATAAGTGGCGTTTATTTAAGCTAAAAAATTAACATGTTAATTAATATATAATTCCGCTAACACGTCATATTAATATTTATTTGATTTTAGAATACATATTTATTCATTAATATTAGAAAAAATAAAAATTTTATTTATTCTTGTTCACCATATAATACTCAATTATTATTTTATTGTAAAATTTATAGTCATATAATGTCTTTATTATTATTTATAAAAGTTATAGAAGTAGTCTTCTTTATGTAATGAAATTCAAAATAAAATTTTGAGTATAA